ACTATATATATATATATATATACTTATAACAAGCATTCAACAAACAGCCCCAAATAATATACAAAACGAAATATCCTGTCCATGTGGTGATTATTGTTGCAGTATTAATTGACATCTTTAGAATGCGAATTTTAGCACAGAGAATGTGATGAAATGCGAACAAGAGTTATGATCGAATGTGATGGAATGTCCGATCTGACATAATAAGTACTGTGCGTTTCTGATATGATTACTAGTCCCTCGAATGTTTATGCACCGAAGTCATTCACTCCGCCATTTTTTATGAATCCGTTGTAAATGCTCGTAAGCTCGTTGAGAAATATTAAGTTCAGGGTTTATCGAACACAAACCAGGTTGTCTCAAAAGACTTAAGCCACACAAACCTATTGAAGAAGTCATATACTTGTGTTATTATTATAAAGATGTGTAAATTATTCTATGAAACAAGATTGCGACATAAATTTTTTCACATTTACCTAAATATGTATGTAAAGGATCTGGCCGAGTATTGTCAAATTTGGCCAATCCTCCAACGAGAGTGTCTTGAGTATTAAGGATAAACGTTTTGTTTTGTTCAGCGTCTGAAAAATTAAGAAACTCCAGCAGCTCGAGCGTAGCACCAATCCAGAAACTATAACACGTGTCGGACGGTTTTCCAGGTCTTCCGTTAAATCCACCATCCTGTCTCATAAGGCACCAACGCTTTAACCGAGCTAAACGATCCCGTGTCAATACTTCCAATATGTTAATATGTTCTCTCATCAGAAACAAACTCGCTACGGCACAGAACGTGGAACCTCCATGAGATTCAAGACCTGGTCCTTGCCCAATACCGCCGTCATATGACTGTAATTATCATAATAATTTTTTGTGAGCCATCTATTATATAGCAACTAGCAAAAGGAAGATATAGATAATAATGTCTACTAATTAATATTAATAAATAGCAATATAATAAAAATAAGTAACAATAATAATAATAATTTAAGTGAACACTTACAATGCTTCGTAAAATATAGTCAATAGCCCTTGGGATATCCACACCTGACCAATCATCTAAAATTGCAGAAACACAAGAGGCACAATAGAGGAATCTCATGTCGCTCTCACATCCCATAACCATGGCTGTGAAAGATCCGTCGGGATTCTGACAGGCTCGGACTCCCTCGATGATGGATTGTCTATCAACTCTACTAAGATCGTCATCAAGAATCAAGAGAGTTACCAAACTAGTGTAAGTCATTGCTAAATGACCATACTGATACTCGGGTACATCCTTCGGTATCGTTGTGGATGACTGAAAGCCAGAACGCGGGCCGGCTCCTTCGACCTGAAGTCCATAAATCCAGTCGATCGCCTCAGACTTGGCCTGCTCGCCGATCTCATCCAGTGAGTTCAGCAGATCCAGACCGGAGAATGCAAAGTACGCTATCATCGGTCTGGTAGAGTCGAAATCCGTCAGGTTGCTAGGCATGATGTGTAGTAACCTTAGGAAGTATTTGACATGCTTCTCCCGCACCAGTCGCAACGTCATGATGAGATTTCGATGTAGTTGATTAAAACCTTACTCTAAATCGACACGCGGCACACCTCAAGAAACGCGGTAACCTGTCGTTGTTGTGCGAACTTGATGACAAATCATATATGTAATTCCTGTCAATTGACACACTTCTCGCTTCCTGTCCCCATGCCCGCTCGTCACAACTCCCGGAAATGCCCCGATGCATCATGAATTTTCACACCTGGGCGATACATGTCATCCGTTTCCTTTACACGTCGTAATCAGATTGACGACAGAAAAAGTGCGTTACAATCGTCGTGTAAACAAGCGTAAACAGGCGTAAATGAACTCTAGAATCAGGAAGTAGCCTGACCGACGTGTCCATATTTTAAATGGACCCATCTAGAGGCGCCTCCGTGCATAAAATGTGTACCGTGACTATGTAACTGGATATTTCCGGTAGGTAACGTCCACAATTCTTTGATTCTGTTCCGTGCTATGTACAAAATATTGTATAAAGGTCTAGGCCTGTTTTTTTTTAAGAAAGTTTGCAAGTAATGTACACTGAGCAATAAAGTTGGAATAAAACAAATGATTTGTTTCAATAACATTAATTTATGCATCAATGTACACAATTAAAAATTTTTTTTGGAAAAAGAACAGGCCCAAAAATGATCATTAAAAATTAATGTAATATTATATTGATACAATGACTTGGTTCAAACTTTTCTCTCATCATCTCGGACAAAATTGAAGCAAAATTTATAATTACGTAATTCCTAACTTATGTCCATTTCTCCAAGAGATAAAAAAAATTTAAATTCATTTAATGTAAATTAATTTCACTTTTATCGGTTTAACTTTTTATCTCGGTTTATCTTTTTCGAATTTTCGAATTAAAAAATAAGAATTAAAAAAAGAATAAGAAATAAAAAAAGATAGAGTAAATTGAACGAAGATTAAACTTATTCTACATTTTGATAAAAATGAATATTAGAACTTTGACCAAATTCCGATTAATTTAATCAGCACTATTTTAAAAAATAGATCTATTAAATTAATAGAATTATGTTTAATTCTATTAATATTGTCGAAAAAAGATTAAGAACTGTGTAGAAATTTTATCCTAAACAATTCTGCCGGTCGAGTTAATCGCAAATTAAACGGAATTTGATTGAGGTGACTTAAACTTAAGATTGAAAACTCTGACACAATTGTAAAAGGAAGACATTCCAATATCTTTTTTCACAGGTCAACAAGAAATATTATAAAAAAGAAGATAAAAGATAAAAATAAAATGAATATGAATACTTTCTATAACATTTTCTTGCATATATTTGTACATATATATCTATATGTATGACAATTAACATTGACATATTACTCTACACTTTATAATAAAAAAATAGAAAGGGAAACTTATTATATAAATGTTAATTACAAACTCTGTTACACATTTCTGGACATTGCAACATCAGGTAGGTAAACTACAGATCTATAGTGGCAACGATTAAGAGAAATTTCTAATATTTCTCCCTATTTCTTTGTATCAATTAATAATAATAATACAATTGTTGCATTTAGAAGAATGTATGGTCTATCGACTCGAATTTAACGCGACGGTAGTCTTTAATAAATAAAATTTTCTCAAATATAACTTCGCAACGCGCATCTCTGTTATAAATAAAATATCAAATAAACGCACGCACGCACGCACACATACATAAATTTTCATAGAACGATACTGTATAGAATTAGATATCTAATGCCCGTTTCTACTAATGTAGATTAACTTTATTTTCAGTTCGATTTATTCTTCATCTTTTTCTAATTCTTAAAACTAGAAATTTAACTCTAAAAATTCGACGTTATTTCTTCGTGTAGGCTAATAATCTATAAGCTTCAATTTTGTAAATACAGATTGTAGAACTTTTATATCAAATAAATGTTGTTCTGGTTCTGGATGCTATTTGATATTAAAAATGATAAAAAGATATCAATTTCAAAATTATCGTTATAAATTCCATATATATTAATAGATATATTAATGGATATACTTTAATTCTGGAGAAGGAGATTTCCAAATCTGTAAAAGTAATATATGCGATATCGTTCTATGAAAATTATTACATTCAATCAAAAAATTATTATTAAAAAAAAATTATAAAATAAACAACTTTAGAATCCCCTTAATGAAATATGGACGTAATATCGATGAGGAAATGCTAGTTATCGTTCTAACAGTCAATAAATTCGCTAATAGAACTTTCAATAGATAACTGTGCAATAAATAACTGTGTGCAATTACGTTATCAGGTAACAAGTTATTAGCGTCCTAGAGAGATCAAATCGTTATGGCAGAAAGTCGGGAGGCATGTCGCTCGGCAGTGTGACGCCGAACCTAGTTATCATGCAAGACGCAATTTTGCATCCTAATTCTAGGCAACTCTTCGGATCCCAGTGGGCCAAGACGCCAGCTAGGAAGCCAGCCACCAGAGCATCGCCGGCGCCTGTTGTA